GTTGTGATATCCCGAGTGTCAGTTCGCCATTCCCTCTTGGGGTGAATGCGCACTCTTACACCCAACCTAGTCTTGCCGTCACCCCCTATTGTTTCGATTTGAATGAGGAAACCCCAGATTGACCTATTTTCCGTTTTTAGAACTGAATGGTGATGCTGATGTCTACCTCTTCATCACTGTCCTCTTTTTAAGACTTGCCTCCATGCCGCCCTATTGCCTCTGGGACTGCCATTATTTCTCCCGAAGTGCCTTGCGACTCCTTTCCATACCCACCGTCATAGCCTTACATTACGCCTAATTTGCATAGGCAAAATTGGGTTCTATTACTATCAGTTGAAAAAAAAAAAAAAAAAAAAATGTCGCACTCAACCATGACAGTACGTTTCTTTACTAAACCCAAACCCCTAGGGGAGACCCTTACCGAAAGTGCCATGTCGAACACCCCCAAATTGCCAAATGGGTTTTTGAAAGACGAGCCAACCACCGGAAACGCACCGGCTGATGGCCATGGACACCGCGACGGCTCTAAACAACTCCAAAAAATAAAGGACGGTATCACCTTCGCAAACCAAGACTCACTTCCCAGGCTCCCCATCCCCGACATTGAAAACACATGCAACCGATATCTGGAGATTTTGGCCCCCCTACAAACCGTCAAGGAACAGGAGGAGACAAAGGCTGCTGTGAATGATTTTCTCAAATATGAGGGTCCAGAGTTACAGGATAAACTAAGGAATTATGCGAACTCAAAATCAAGTTATATTGAACAATTTTGTGAGTCCTAGTAACATTTTATACCTTTTTCCAATCCATTTGGTTAAAACGGATGCTGATATGTTAATCCAGGGTATGATTCTTATTTGAATTACGATAACCGTGAGTTTGCAGCTTGAACCCCCTTGGATTTTTGGTTCTTGAAGCCTGCTTATATGGGGTTTAGCTGTTGTTCTTAATCTCAATCCCTTCTTCCTTCTGGAGGATGATCCTACTCCCTCGAGGAACAACCAGGTCACCCGGGCAGCCTCATTGGTAGTGTCTGCATTGTCGTTTGTTCGAGCTGTTCGAAGAGAGGAGCTGGCTCCAGATACAGTCCGGGGGAAACCTCTTTGCATGTTCCAATACTCCAGATTGTTTGGCACAGCTCGCGTCCCAACCAATGATGGTTGTATCATTGGTCAAGATTCATCCGCTAAGCATATGGTTGTTCTTTGTCGGGGACAGTTTTATTGGTTTGACGTTCTGGATGACAACAACGATCTACTCATGAGTGAAAGAGACATATCACTCAATCTTCAGGTAATTATTGAAGATGCGGAGCAGACGCCAATTCAGGAAGCCGCTAAGGGTGCGCTTGGGGTGCTCAGCACCGAGAATCGGAAAGTTTGGTCTGGTTTGAGAGATATTTTGACTAAAGAGGAGGGATCTAACAATGCTGAATGCTTGAACATCGTCGATACGGCTCTATTTGTTCTCTGCCTGGATTCCACAGAGCCTTCAAATACCGCTGATCTCTGTGCCAATATGCTTTGCGGCACAAACGAGGTGGTGCGGGGAGTGCAAATCGGAACCTGCACAAATCGATGGTATGACAAGCTGCAAATCATCGTCTGCAAGAATGGCAGCGCTGGCATCAACTTTGAACACACCGGCGTCGATGGCCACACGGTGCTCCGATTTGCCAGTGATGTCTACACCGATACGATTCTCCGTTTTGCCCGGACAATCAACGGCCAGTCGCCAAGTCTCTGGGCAACTACCAGCCCCCCCCCTTCCAAACGGAGCGCAGAAAGCTTCTCTTCACATGCCAGCACAACCCCACATAAACTAGAATGGGACATGGGCCCCGAACTCAGCACCTCTCTCCGCTTTGCCGAATCGCACCTGGCAGACTTACTCCACCAGCACGAATTCCAAGTCCTCGATTTCAAGGGCTACGGTAAAAACTTCATAACGTCCATGGGGCTGTCTCCCGATGCCTTTGTCCAGATGGCCTTCCAGGCAGCCTACTTCGGCCTCTACGGCCGTGTCGAAAACACCTACGAACCCGCCATGACCAAATTCTTCCTACACGGCCGCACCGAAGCCGTGCGAACCGTTTCAAACGAATCCGTCGAGTTTGTCCGGACGTTCTGGGGCGACCGGCCCGCAGCTGAGAAGGTCGCTGCACTCCGCAAAGCGACGGAGAAACACACGGCCATGACGCGCATCTGCTCGCAAGGCCATGGACAAGATCGACACCTGTATGCCCTTTACTGTCTCTGGCAGCGCTCCATGGAGGACGGGCGGGGGATGATCAATAGCGACATCCCAGCCATGAACGGGTATTCCGCCAGCCACGTCGACCCGGGATCGACAGTCGAGACAACTCCGGCCACAGACCCGGTCGGCATCCCGGCCCCGGCCCCGGCCCCGAGGCCGGTGACTTCAGCGCCCTCCAACTCCACCCCCTCCGACGACGGCGTGCTATCATCCAGCTACGCCAGCTCGGGAAGCTTACGCATGAACCACCCGCCACGAGTGCCCGCCATCTTCAGCGACAGCGGCTGGGAGAAGATCAACACCACCATCCTCTCGACGTCGAACTGCGGGAACCCGAGCCTGCGGCATTTCGGCTTCGGGCCGACGAGCGGCGACGGGTTCGGGATTGGGTATATCATAAAGGACGATTCGATTAGTATCTGTGCGTCGTCGAAACATAGGCAAACCACGAGGTTTATACACAGCCTTGAGGCGTATTTGTATGAGATTCGGAAGTTGTTGAGGGCTACGCAGCCGAAGGGGGTTGTGCCGTCTAGCGCGAGGGAGAGGCAGATTATTGCTGCTGGTGGGGCGGCGGGTGCGGAGGGGGTGGATGGTAAGCGGCATGCTGGTGGTGGGATGGGGGAGAAAGTGATCAAGGGAAAGGGGAGGGCGGTGCGGGCTGATCCACACATGGTGGGGAGGGAGTCGGAGACAGCGATGGTGAATGGCGAGGAGGTAGGGGATGATGGGATGGGTGGATGTAAGTTCTCTCCCCCCCCCCGGCTCTCCTGCTCTCATTATCAGAGCAGCTGTTCTTTTTCATCATTTTGAGCTGAGATGTTAACTAATCATGTTGCAGATGGATTTTTCGATGCGGGGATCTTGTTGAATGCGCTGAAAGGGTCGCAGGGGGATCTTCGGGATTCGCCTCCTAAGCGGAAGCTGATTGGAAAGCAGTTGCAGTTGAATGAGTACTGAGGGGTCTATATTGTCTTTTATTGTATAATTTTTTTTCTTATCGATATATGCATCTGTCTCTACATCTACAATACTAGACGAGAGGCAAATTGTGCACTACAAACGCCCACAGTAATGCGAACACTGATCCTATGCATCTCATCAAAATTGCGAAGCATCTCCATATGATGAAAAACAAGTAAAACAAGCGTAGCATGCCTGTGTCCTTTGTTCATTTTACTTTTCATTTCCTCCTCAATTTTGTCCCTCTTTCCGTTTTTCTTCCTTTGGTTATGTTTGATATTCCCCGGCCCATTTTTTTTTTTTTCCCTCCTCCTTTCATTTACGGATGGGATGGGTTGGGTTTTTATTCCATGTATTATTTCCTTACCCTGGTTCGATCTAAGACCGCAATTCGCATAACCACAACTTACAATGCACAAATGACGCGGAATTGGCGAATAGGGATTCATTGGGCATAGTTTTTATTTTATATAAATATAAATATATATATATTACCGGGGATAACCACACAAATGCATGTCTTCCGTGCAGATGCATAAATTAAACTACGCAGGATAACTACACGAACCCTGGCTTGTTTCGATTTATCAGAAGAGACGCGAACGAAGCAGAAGTCGTTAAACTTATCTAGTCCGAAGCAGCCTCTTAGAGAGCTGGAGTGGAATGAAAATCGACTAGCAGACTGCATGCTGCGGGACTGCAGACGTTAGAGTTGTAAACCGGACTGGGCTTGCCGGGACTAAAGTGAAGAACTGTGTTCTGGATGGAGCGGGGATGATGTTGATTGGAGGAGGTTCTTGGGGGAGGGGGGAGAGAACCTGCTGCTCTTAGAGTATATGCGCTGGAGAACGTCGGAGGAGAGGGGGAGGAAAACTGCGATTTGGAAAGTATTGAAACTAAATTACATCTGATAACTTTAAAATAACATATAACTAACCAATCCCTCTAACTTTGAGAACCCCCGATTTTCTCCATAAGGAGCGATCTTCAAGGAATCTCCAACTCCCCCGCCGTTGATGTATACCAGTTACTCGATGCATTCCATCGTACGACTCTTTGAAGTGCTATTAATAGTCCCCCAACCAGTGCGCCAGAAGGAAAGGTTAAGTTGTTCAAGTTGTTTCGCAGCTGCAGATAATCCGGTCCCGAGGCAAAGTCTCGTTACCCTTTTTCCCGCCTCCTTGTTCAGCCGCTGCCAACCAGCCAATCAGGCGGGAGCGGACAAGGGATAATCCGGTCAGGCAGCGAGGAACAAAGAGTCTGGCAGGCAAAGACCAAGTGAATTGCGCGCGGACAAATGCCAGGACAAGTCCACAAACTTGGACTGTGGAAGGGTTGGAGCTAGGAACTAATTTAATTGCTACTTAAATGTGCAGCCCTTTTTTTTTTTTTTATCTCTGAGAGCGGCCCCCTCCTCTTAGTTTCTTTCCACAGCCTCTTGTCTTCTGCTGCCGCTTGTTGTCGTGTGTCTTGACTGGTAATCTCTATCGGTCTCTCAAGATAACTAGCCTCAGGCAGGCGGCCCTCTCTTCTTGGAAACAACTATATGAACCACAACATCAGTCGATCTGTTCACGTCCTTTGAGGTAAGTATTGTAGTTACGGTTTTTTATATATATATATATATAGACTTAAGCTTCTCTGGGTTTATCGTATCCATTCCCATCCCTGGGACTGCTTTGTCGTTCGTCGTCGTGCCCCTTGCCCTTCCTCCCTCCCCCCAATCCCCATCCCGACTTCGGGTTCTGCGCCCTTTGCCCGCCTCCCGTCACACCGCTATGCCAGGTTGGGCCTGGAGGGGCTCTCCCTCCTTCCATCACCCATTCGCTGGGCGCCCCTTCCCGACGGTTCCTCCTGCCCAGATACCACGGGGATGCCAGTGTGTCTTCCTCCCCACCCACCACTGGCAGAGGCAGAGGCAGAGGCAGAGGCAGAGGCAGCGGCAGCGCCAAGTCGACTCCACTCTACTCAATGGAACAATCTCTCTCTGCTGCAGCTGCCGTCCCTCGCAGCGGAAGAACTCCTCTCCCGGCTCTCCACCTCCTGCTACCGCCCTGCACTCCTTGTCACTTCTCCCTATACTTTCTACTGCTGCAACACTACTACACTACCACTACGACTATCACTCCTCCTACTACCACTACCACTGCCACTGCCACTCCCACTCCTACCACTCCTCCTACTACTCTTTCCATGCCTGATTCTATATACTCCTGTTTCTAACTACTACTCACCTTCTGCTGTCCTCTTAGCTAGAGCAATCCCTCGATATACTTCTCCCTTCCCCGCCTCCCCCCATATCAATCTCTTGCTCTCGCATTCGTCAATTCCCCTGCCTCTCCCCTCTCTACCCATCCGAGGACCGCTGGGAAGACCCTTATCCCTCCATCCCGCCGTCAACCAGCGGTCGCCCCTCCAAAGAAATCAATTATTCAAGATACAAATTACAATTTAATTAATACAAATTAATAACACCAAACTATTAACAGAGGGTATTTAATCCCCAACCAGAGAGAGAGAGAGAGAGAGAGAGAGAGAGAGAGAGAGAGAGAGAGAGAGAACAAGACCCTTTACTTACCTCCAAAAAAAAAAAAAAAAAAAAAAAGGGAGGCCATGGCGGACGCTGCTTCATCCGTCGAAGCCATGGCTCCCTCCTGCCCGCTGCCAGATCCCACCCCCACCACCACCGCCAACATAGACAATACCGCCTCCATGACCCCTCCATCTAGCGCAGACGGAGACAAAGTCGGGGAGAAGACCTCCCCAGGGCCCTCGATCGCTGCCTTTGCTACCACCGCATCTACTCCTCTTCTTCCTCTTCATCCTCAGCAACTCAAACTATCCGACATGGATCTCGATTCCATGCGAATACCAAACACTGCACTGACTCGACTACGCTGCAGATGAGATTTTTCCGGATCACTATTACGGAGGGGGGAGGATTCCGGTTTTTAAACCTGTCAGTATATATATATACACCTTGATATCTTCATGTCTTTATGACTTTGGTTCCGTGTCACTGACGTATTGCTTTAGACAATGGACCAATTCTGCGATTTTGCTTCCTTTGTACGCAAAGTCGACCACTACGGGATGAAGTCCGGGGTGATCAAGGTTATCCCGCCCAAGGAATGGTTGGTGTTTTCTTCTTTACCTGCGTTTATTTGCCTCTGATGTCCCCTTTCCTCAACCGCTCTCTGCTGCGCTGAATATTATCTGCAACCATGGTGACTAATGCTATCCTGACATAGGACCGATGCACTTCCACCCCTCGAAGAAGCTATCAAAACCATCCGTGTCAAAAACCCAATCATGCAAGAATTCCACGGCTCGCATGGCACATTCACCCAGGCCAATATCGAAAAACAACGCTCATATAACCTGCCGCAATGGAAAGCGCTGTGCGAGGAGAGTAGTCATCAACCCCCCGCCCGACGCGGCGAGCGGAGACGGAACCAGGAAAAGGTGACCCGTGGTGGTGCGCACAAGCAACAATCTAGATCTAATTCGCAGAGGCGGAAACCGGGGCCGAAACCTAAGCGCGTAGAAATAGTGGACAACAACAACAACAACAACAACAACAACAACAACAACAACAACAACAACAACAACAACAACAACAACGCTGTCAAACTTAGAGAGGATTCCGCAGAGACCCATGTGGATAAAGTCAAAGCCGGGAAAGCCCTCCCAACCCCCGTCTCTCCGGAATCCAAACCCATGGAAACCAAAACAGAGGTACTTAGTGATAGAGAGGTCTTACCGCCTCCTAAACCTAAAGGAAGACAGCCCAAATCCGTCTCTGCCAGGAGAAAATATAACCGTGGCGACGCTGCGGATTACATTGATGAGGAAGCATTCAAAGATTTCGACTACCGTCTTTCTGGCACCGAGCAATTCACCTCTGAACGATGTGAGGAGCTGGAAACCGCCTATTGGAAATCACTCATGTATAACAACCCCATGTACGGCGCGGATATGCCTGGGTCTCTCTTCGACGATAGCGTAACTTCATGGAATGTTGCCAAATTGCCAAATCTACTAGATATTCTTGGACAGAAGGTTCCCGGTGTCAACACTGCCTATCTGTATCTGGGAATGTGGAAGGCAACCTTCGCCTGGCACCTCGAGGATGTCGATTTGTATAGCATCAATTATATACACTTTGGCGCACCGAAACAGTGGTATAGCATTTCCCAAGAGGATTTGGGAAAGTTTGAAGCTGCAATGAAGAGTGAGCTTCTTCCCCCCCTTAAAAAAAAAAAACCTCCCCAAATTGCCACCATGTTTTGAGGACTGGCTTTTCATCCCTCAAAATATATTTTATTTTTTTTTGCTAATATAGCAATTAAAGGTATCTGGCCAACGGATGCGAAGAACTGTGACCAGTTCCTCCGTCATAAAACCTACTTGATTTCCCCTGCTCTTCTAAAGTCACAATTTGGCATCAATGTGAACAAATTGGTCCACTTCGAGGGCGAGTTTGTCATAACCTACCCATACGGATACCACTCGGGATTTAATCTGGGATACAACTGTGCTGAATCTGTCAACCTTTGCGACTGAAAGCTGGCTGGACTATGCTCGCGTCGCGAAGAAATGTAACTGTGAGGCTGATAGCGTTTGGATTGATATCAGTGAAATCGAACGCAAGCTTCGTGGCGAATCCACACCCGAGTATTATGATGAGGACATTGAGATGGGTTCTGATGACGAGGATATGACTATGGACGGTGCCTCGGACCTCCTTACCCCGCCGCGCAGCGTGCCGGAAAAGCTTGGGGTGACGCGAGGCAGGAAAAGAAAATGCGACAGTCACGAGTCAAGTTCGAAGGGTAAACGGGCTAAGATGCATGGGGAGGATGGCCCCAAGAAGATCCGTTGCGTCCTCTGTCCTAATAGCATGGACTATGAAGAACTCCTAGCAACAGAAGATGGCAAGTCTCACGCCCACCGCCGCTGCGCCACCTACATAGAGGAAACAACCATTCTCAAAGACGAATCCGGCACAGAAGTAGTCTGCGACATCGACAAGGTCCCCAAGGCCCGTCTGGGTCTCAAATGCCTCTACTGCCGCGAGATCAACGGCGCCTGCTTCCAGTGCATGCACGGCAAATGCACGCGCGCCTACCACCCCACCTGCGCTCTGCTAGCCGGGGTTCAGGTGGAAATTGGCTCTGTGGCTGTCATAGCTGATGATGGGTTTGAGTATTCGGTGCCCGGGGTGGATTTGAAGTGCAAGTATCATCGTCCGAAGAAGTATGCGTATATGCAGGGGGAGACGCTGGATTTGGATCCGAAATTTACGGCTGTTGCGAAGGGGCTGAGGGAGGGGGAGCTCGTGCAGTTTCAGGTGGATAGGGAGATAATTGGGTGCGTTGTGCTTGAGAATCGGGTGGGTGAGAGGGTGTTGTTGGTTAAGGTTTTGCCGAGGGGGTAGGTTTATAGCTTCTTTATATATTTTAATGATGGTGACGCTGCTGATGCTGACATTTCTTTTAGGGATGTAATCGAATTACCCTATCGATTTTTGTTGATTGTGCGAAAATCATCATTCCCACCACTTCCCCCGGGAATTAAACCGCTACCTTCCCACCTCGCGCGAAAACCAGATTCGAAGAAGGATTTGGCTTCTTCCCTCCCATCCCCGGGTACCCCATTTGGCGATGCGCGCTTCATCTATCAATGGGGCGAGTTTGTTCTTTTTAACCTTCCATTCAACTCTTCCACAACCCACGTCGATCTCTCGAAACCGGAGCAGATGTGGTATTACCTGGGCAAATCATCAACGGAGTGTCGTGCACAGTATACCGATAACCCCGATAAACCGTTGCATAATCCTCGCTCGCAATTTTTGGAGAGTGTCAAGTCGCTGAATGCTCCTGTCGTGACGGCAGTGCTTCAGCTTCATGGTCCGTCATACGCACGCAATCATCCCTCTAGGCCATTCTCCAGGCCATTCTCCAGGCATCCAGTAGCCGCCCCGCCGTACCCCATAGTGACATCGTCTGTTTCTGTTCCCATTACCGCTTCCGTTTCGCAACCCGCACAACAGCAAACAACAGCCAAACCACAACTTGTAAAATCGCCTACAGTCACGTCCCATCAACCAATTCCACCACCACAAAATACATCACATCCATCCCCATCCCAGCTAGGCAGCCCGCAAGTCCTGTCTGAGAAGCAACGGCCACCAGAGCCACAGAATAATAATACCAATAATGCTAATAATAGCAATCATAAACTCCCGGTATGGGCCAGTGACATCACGTTGCAGTTTGCGATGGCCCGACGTCTGGTGGCGTCTATTACTGACCACGCCAATCTTCGCGCGGGATATACAATTGTCAATTCTGACTTTGTCGTCCAGACGCTGCTAGGCCAGGCGGGCTCAGTCCTACCGACGAACGGGATGGAGAAGTTGAAGACGGCTATGGCGGAGTCAATGGTTAGGCCTAAGAGCGATAACAGCCACAGCAACAGCAGCGATAATCACAATAATAATTCGTCGTCGTCGCCGCCGCCGCCACCACCACTACAGCCATTGAATATGAAGGCGGATGAAGTAGACCACCTGCTCCGAATGCTCCGGTTTGCACTTATGAATCTCACGACGAAAGTAACAGGCGCAGCGGGGATGGTTGAAAAAAAATCCCCGAAGAAAAGCACCCCGCAGGCTCCTGCTAAGGAAGAACTATCCGGTGACGACGGTGATGTTAGTGGCCTGCTGATACGTCCAAAACTGGAAGGTAAGTATACCTACTTGGATGTGCAACGTCGCCAGTCAGCGTCGGTGTACCAGTCGCCGTATGCGCCGGGTTTTGGGTTTTCGGAATATGCTAAAAAGGCGTATCGGTTAGTTGGTGGTGGTGATGATAATGATGAAATGGCTCAACAGCAGGGGAGTCAGTCATTGTCGCTACGGTATTTTGAGTCGCTTTCGCGGACGGATAAGGATAAGGTTATTGAGGCATGTGGGGTGGAGGTTACGCGGCCCCGTTTACGGACCAGGAACGGGAAGCCGGTTGTGGATGAAGAAGAGACACTTGATAACGCAGTCCTGGATGGGGATGGCAGCCACGGCCACGGCCACGGTCATAGACATAGTTCTGTGTCCAGATTTGGCCAATCGGCATCCTCCCTGAACGGTCCAGCGTCGTCCCTCGATGCGATGGCCCTAGACCACCATCACCATCACAACCACCATAATGACCACCAAAACCACAGCCATCACGACCACGACCACGACCATGACCACGACCACCTCTCCGTCTTTGACATCTCCATGGCCATGCACACGCAAACACAGATGCACTTCCCCCTCCACCAAGCCGACTCCCCCGCCTCATCAAGCTTCGGCCGTCCCCAACTCCGCTACCAATCCCCGCAAGACTTCTCACACATCGAACATGAATCCTTCATGCTCCCCCGCCACCTCCAACTACAACTCCACGAACACGACCACGACCTCTTCGGCGACCAGCATGCCAATCAACGCTTCTGGCAACGCAGCGTCATGCCGTGGGTCGATGGCCAGCGCTGTGACGGCGACGGCGACGGTGACGGCGACTCACATTGCGGCGGTAGCCGCGCTGGTTCCCGCACTGGCGATGGCGACGATGATCCTCTTGGTATCAACGGAGTTGGCGTTGGAGTTGGTGTCGGCATTGGCGTTGGTAGTGGTGGGGGAGGCGCTATGGGTGTTGCCGATGGTGGATTGCAATCGCCGGATGAGCAGCCGCATCATCGACCTTTTTTGGCCCGTTTAGGCCGTCTGGACATGATTATGCGTCGTCGGATATGGATATAGGGCTTGGTAGGGGGCCTGGGTCGTTGCATTCTATGGATATGGCGGGCTTCGGGTTTGATGGGCCGGAGGAAGGGGAAGGAGAGGGGGAGGGGGAGAAAGAAGGTCAAGATGTGGATGCGAATGAGGGTGGGCATGGGGATGAGGTGAGTAAAGGAAGCAGTCCTTGAATGGCACTCTCTACCCGTCGAACTCCGCGCCGGAGTTCTCTCCAATTTTTGCACGGCATTTTTGGTGAAGCACCTCTCTCGCCATCCACATTCGTTCGATGAAACCGTTCTCTATCGGAATCGAATTCGAGAAAATGTGTTCTTTTGCTTTGCGCTGCCGATATTAGCGGCTGGCCCCAGCTCGCCTCATGTCCTCGATTGCTCGGCTCTGCCACTGTTAGCGAATTCTTTGCGTTCTGCGCTTGATTCATGCGCTTACATCCAAAAAAGGGAGCTTAAATCCCCATTAGCGACCCGCCTTATCTGTGTGTTTGATCAAAGGAAAAAGAAATTTACGACTGAAATAACTTCCCACTCCTTCTAATGCCAATACGATGATCAAAAGAACTTTGCACCTTACGCATGTTGTTCTTAATTCGTTCATATGTGTCTTGACTTGTTGTTTGCGGTCCATTTGGCAGTTTTAATGTGTTTGATTGTTTTTGCCCCTGAAACAGAGAGCGAACGAAAGAGAGGAAATTTTTTGCGTGGTTGTTCATTTTTGATCGATCAGCTCAACGACGGAGAAGATGGGAGCATCCTATACCCCGTCAATACCCACAATACACGTACGAACGGATTACGAATTGCAGCTACGGATAAGAGGTACACCATTGCGTGTTCAGTGACACGATTTTCGTCGTTGTCCTGCTTGACTTTGTTTGGTTATTGATTTTAGCTTGCGCATTGTGTATGAATGCATGCATTAAGTCAACAACAGTTTCTTTTGCAGGTGCCGACGAAAGGGAAATTGGAGAAAGGAGAAAGGGGAGAAGGGATATAAGGAAGATTTCCCCCGCCCCCTTTTTTTTACCAGTCAACAGAACCCAAAGTCTGACAAACAAAAATTCAACATTTACCTCCCTATTTCTTCCACGCCTTATCCGATCCCAACATACTTCTGGCTCTTGTACATAGATATAGCCATTTCCACAACAACCCATTTCCTCTCGACTCCACTATTTTACACAGTTTCCAAAATTCTTCAACTCCCAAAACGTCGTTTCCGTCCCTGTTTTTAAAACAAAAAGCAGCTTGATATCCCCTGCTGCTTAACCCCCTTTTTTTGGCCCTTTTTTTGGTATAAGTGGTCGATCTGGTTTGGAGTGATGGCGGAAGGATGGGTAAGGAGATAAATAGAAAGGATGGATGGAGGAGGCGATGGCGTTGAAAAGAAAATTAAATAAAACAATGGTTCTAGGGTGGATGAAACGAAACAAAAACGGCCTTGTTTGTTGGAAATATCTCTCCACTAGATGAGTTTATAGTTCTTTACTTACATAGCTTATGAATAATAAAAAAAGGGCGCCTGTTTTCTTAAGGCATATAATATGAACTGATATTTCTAGAGTGATTTTGCTTGGTTTTCTCCTTGTTGGATGACCAGATAAATGGTATTGACGGTATAACTATAAGAATCAGGTCCTTGATATATTCAGGTATCCCGATTGGAATCGTCAGTGAGGAAAGTTGCAATAGCCATATCTACTCTTCAACCATCCTCAGATGAGGCACTAGTATATATTTCATTGTTTTGTCTCTTGGATTCATAGGTTGATGGCCCCCTCCCTCTTCCCCGCATTTTCTATAAATATTCCATCAGACTCTCAGAACCCGAGAACCCCTAAATAGAATCAGCATACTTTGCAGCCCAAACCGTACCACACACGCAAAACCCTTCGTCCAACAAACAGACGTTCTAAGGCTTTACCACCGCTCTGGCGGGCAGCAGATGTCCCAGACACTTGCAGTTTATCGTCATCTGCGACAATGAGCTATTTTTCACCATAATGGGCAGCTGTAAAGTAATTATGGCACGCCACCAACTCAATAGGATAATACACAACTCAATATTTGACGGGCCTCTTATTCCATTCAACTACAATATGTAGTTACAACTACAGGAACCCGCAAGCAACAAACCTATATTTTACCCCCCACCACCACCACTCTTCCACAACGTTCGGAGACACTTTTATCATTTCAAATATCTAACAGCGCCATCGCTGAGCAACCGCAACAACAAGCCGAAGTGCGCTAAATTATTGCAGAGCTAGTCTGAACTCGGAAGGCTGCTGTAAAATGTTACAACATCTGTAAACTTCAACTCCATCTCTACAAAGATGAAGCTTTGCAGCTACAAAGGAAATAGAGGAAAAGTGAAGATAAAATAGATAGAAGAGAGAACAAATAAGCTTAAGATAACAGTATTATTTTTTATAATTAACTACTTATTGTCAGCTGTTTTACTTTTATTATATCTATCTTGTTTTTTTAAATTTATTAGAGATTATTTATTTTAATTTTAATTTTAATTTTATTATAATATTTGCAATCATAACTTTTATAATATATTTAGCAAACTTTCTTTAAATAAATATATCTAATTCAAAGTATAACTTTATAATAAAATATTTAAAAAATAATTTATTTATTTAATTAATTTAAAAGTTAACAATTTATAAATATTTACTATAATTTTTTCTCAATATTTTTTTATAGTTTATAAAAATAATATAAATAAAGATATCTTTAAAAAATAATTTATAGTAATTTTATTTTATTTTTTTATATATTAAACTTATAAATAATATAACTTTAACTAGTAGAAAATATTTATAATAATTGAAATAATTTAATTAATTAAATCTTCATATAATTTATATAAAAAATCTATTAGTTCAATTCTTTAAAGACTTAAAATTTATTAATTATATTAATTAGATTATATCAAACTTTTTAAAAAATACAAGAGTGATGCGTACAAGCAATTGAATAGATAGGATAAATCATGTCTGATTCTCTTCTAATAAGATGGGCGGACGCCCTACTATATATACACACTATGATCACTCTATATGGTAGGAGTGATCACACAAATATAGAGAAGATTGAGGTTCCTAAGTGGATTAGGGAAGGGCGGAAGAATAGGGGCGGAACGCCACAAAGAGAAAGTTGAAAGAAATTATAGTTAATATATTATCTTTGAAGTTAATTTAATAAATTTCTATATAATTTATATATTCAGTATTAATTTTCGATTTATTTTTTGATTTTAATATTAAAAGTTTTTATTATTATTTAGTTTATATATTTAAGAGAAAGGTTTTTAATTTATATTTAAATTTAAATAAAAAAATCAAAGATTGAAAATTTACTAGCTCTAAAGATATTAAGATATTCTTTAATATATTAATCTATATAAAAGCATGTAACTCTGAAGAAGTTATAAAATATTAAAATAGTATTAAATAAAAACTCATCTATTTACTTTAATTTTATATAAAGTTGGTAAGATTTCAGCAAATCAATAGATATATTTATATATTTATCTTCTGAAAACTTAAAAAATAAAATAATTGATAATATAAGTTTGAATTTTTAACTTTTAATTTTTATGATATTTGCAAGAAATACTTTATTTATAAATTCAATCTTTTATTAAATAATATTATAATTTATTTCTTTGATCAAAGTTTTCATATTTATAAAGTATTGAAGAAGTCTAATAAGTAGAGATATAAGATATATGATCTAGAAGAATAAAGTTATTTTTAAGTCTTTTTCTAATAGAGTCATCAATTCAATATTGAGAGAATACTAAGTTTTCTATTATTGAGCTGAACTGAATCTATGATAATAAATATAATTAACTGTTTTTAAGAATTTAAAAGTTAGCTTAACAGAGAATTTAAGTTTAATATCAGAGATTTTTATGAAAAATTTTCTATCAGACTCAATGAGAGATTTTACAGTCAACTTAGCGAGGAATTCATGCAATATCTATAGAGAATATAGATTTAATATCAGAGATTTTCATAGAATATTCTTTACTAAGCTTTATGAGAAATTTTAGAGTCAGCTTAGTGAAAAATTTAAATTTGATATTAACATTCAGAAGAAATTATCAATCTCATATTCAACTTTTATTGAACTATTTCATCTCAATTCCTCTATTCAAACATCTTCATAATTATGACTTTAAAGCTTATGAAACTACTAAACTTAAACAACTTCCACCTCTACTAGTTGAACTATAGAAGTATTCAATTTTCAAGAAGATTTTCTGGAATTCTCTATGTGCTATATCTCAAGATAAAGTTTATTGTTTAGACTGGTAAGATAATAATATGATATTAATATTGACTACTATTCATCTTTATAATATCTTTGTTATTTAAGAGTAAAAATGATCAAAAAAGATCTCAACTTATGAAACTTAGATTAGAAAAGTCTTTGAAAATCTTACAGATAAGAATTTGTCAATTTCTATAATTATTAATAACTGTAATTATAATATAAATGAAATTGATCTAGCAAATCAATATAGAAAATTATAAGACATAGAACTATATATTATAATCAGTTTTCTATACTATATTTGATGCGTATAAACAATTGAATAGGTAGAATAAATCATGTCTGATTCTCTTTTAATAAGATGAGCAGACACTCTGCTATATATACACACTATAATCACTTTATACAATAGAAGTAATTGCATAGAATAGAAAATATAGAGAAGATTAAGATCTCTGAGTGAATTAGAGAGGGATAAATAGAGAGTGAATACTAATATAAAAAGAGGTGAAAGAATAGAGATAGAACATCAGAGGTGAAATGCCACAGATAATAATAGAGATGGAATACCACAGCAGGAGCAGAACACTACAGGTAATAATAGAGGTGGAACACCATAGTCCCTCTGTTCAAAAGAAGAGGTTTGAGCACTTGTATAAAGCAATGTCAAAATAAAGAGATGGGTAGAACTGAAGAAGTGATTTTTTTATTCATTTTGATATGCTATTTCAGATTTTCTTTTGTCAGTTATCATAATTGAGTTCATAATTCTTTCTTTCTATCTCTCTTTTCTTTTCTTTTTATTTTTTGTGCAGTTGTGCTAATGAAATATAAGAGGTCTATTCTTAGTCTGATATCTTACTCTCTCATACTTGAGAAATTGCTATTGTTGATCTCTTCAGATGTGTCTAGCAACCAACTCATTATTATGTATATATCTGCAAAAATCATCTAAGTGTTCTGTTAAGATGAGAGAAATGATCATTGCTAGGTCACTTTTCAATTCCTCTCACAAAAGATATTTGATCATAGTCTAGTCAGAAATCACTGCTATTTGTAGAAAAGTGATCTTGCAGATGATGTAGACAGTGAGTGATAGCTCACTTATCTTGTCAAATAAGAATTGCAATTTCTGCACTTGATTTCAAATCTTCTTTTCTGAAAGCTGGAACTTACTATGTAGTTTGTCAACTGTTATTACAAGTGACACTGTCATTTCATTTCAGCATTCAGACAATAGCTCAATGTGCCACTTCAGAGTTCTTTTTTTGAGATATAAAGAAATCACTCTGAGAACTACTGTCTTCTCTTTCAGAGTTATCATGAACTCTAATCTCAATATAAAAGTAGTCATATTTATTTTGTTTGAATTGTAAAGTATGAGATCTGCTGCTCAGAGCCTTACTGACTGCTTCTGATCATATAAAAAGATAGTAATTTCATCTAAGATGCTTGTCATTAAGAATGCAGATTGATCATACATCTCAGTAATGAGTTGATTATCTCATCTTATTCTATTGTCTTTCTCATTGTACATGTAATGCTTTGTGCTGTCAGTTCTATTGCACTTTAGATTGACTCTGACATGTAAAATCAACTCTCACAGACAGCTTGTTGCTCTCAACACTTCTCAACTGACTTCTCTCAGACTTAGTCTTACAATAAATAAGTAGATGATGCTGACACACTCTAAACAGATCTCATAAATGATTGATTTCTTCTCTCACTCATTAAAAAGAGACTTGCAAATACAGAGCTGAGATTTCAGATCTGTCACTCATTTCTCTCACTTCTTTAACTGCATATCAAGATCTGTCAGTCTGTTTTTTTACTTTCTCAACTATACATTAAACCCTTCAAACTTCTCTATAATACTCAGTATCACTTTCTCATCACAGTGATCATCTTCTGCAACTGAGTGATCAAAATCTGCAAAGACAGAAGTGATAGATCTCTGATTTCTAATGTGCTTGATGACTTCTGTTCTGAACATCTGAATTCACTGATGAAAGATGATTGTTCATTCTGCTACTGGGATTTCCTGTATTGTTATACTTATCTTATTGTATCATCTCACAGAGACAGTGAATAGTACCTTCTCTGTCTTGAAACAGTTGTAGAGAATGATCAACAGTTGTAATTCTGTGTATTGACTGCTTTTGTTTCTTTACACTTCTGTGATTATTATTGTGTACTTTTCTGTAAACATCTGTATGTATTGATGAGAACTGCTATAGTAAGTGTTCTCATCAGCACCTTGCTTCTTGCTAACTAATCCAGTGCTCTTTGATCTTGTTGAAAATTCAGAAGTCATCAGAATGACAAGAGCATTCAAATGATGAGAGTGTTTATCTTTAATGTTTTATGAGATGATTAAGATGATTATTTGAAGATGATCAAGATCTGATTCAGAGGATGATACTACAGCTAATGCTTTTTTTAAAAGTGATTGAACTAGTGATTATGAATTAGAGCAACTAGCAATTATGATTTAGAGTGATTGATTTAATAGATCTTGAACCTTGATTGAATCAGCTGATCTTGAATCTTTTAGAGAGACATGGACATGCCACCAATTTGATGCATACAAGCAATTGAATAGATAGAATAAATCATGTTTGATTCTCTTCTAATAAGATAAGTAGATGCTCTGCTATATATACACACTATAATCATTCTATATGATAGAAGCAATTGTATAGAATAGGAAATATAGAAAAAATTGAGGCCTCTGAGTGGATTAGAGAGGGGCAAATAGAGAGTGAATACTAATATAGAAAGAGATGGAAGAATAGAGGCAGAACATCAGAGGCAGAATGTCACAGATAATAATAGAGATGGAACACCACAGCAGAGGCGGAACACCATAATATTGAATCTTGATACTGCTGTTAATAATACTTATAAGCTTCAATATCCCTATACAAAGCAGCAAGAGGTCTCAGATAGTCAGCTACTCAAACATATAGACTTCTAGGAGAAGCTCTATCAGCAACTCTTTGCCTTTTCTAGCTCAATTCATAATCTACCATCTGACCAATTGATCTCTTCATTGAATCAACACCTGGATTTCCCTGACAAAGCGCCTATCTTGTGTGTAGTGTCAATATAAAAGAAAGCAGAGGTCAAGGGAAGCAAAAAAAGCTGATCCGTCAGAGTTAGATTGTTCAATATGTGGGAGGAATGAAATCCTATACTATCTAACTAGGCAAATGTGAAAAAAGTTTAATAAATTACAATGGTACTATATAGATAAATTACACTAACGAAACCACGCTAATTTGACAGATGAAACATAAACATATTGGTTGACGGACGCTAGGTGGCATTTGGCATGGGAAACTAAGGGCCGTGGGGTTAATGGGGCCTCGAATGTGATAAGATAACATTTAAAACCGGGCATGTCATTTGACCCCACAGCGGATAATATCTGAATGATCTTTTGATATGTTAGTTAAAAAACTAAACATGATTCTATTTTATATATAAATTGATACTATCTTAAAGTTAAAAAATTATTATATTATAAGTTTTAGAATTAATTACTTATTAATATCTTTTTATAAAAAATTTAAACAACTAATTAATTAATGATATATTATTATATAAATATATTTTAATAAAATTTCTCACAGAATGAGCAGTTATATTCAAATATTTCAATTAATTAGATTTCAAATCAAATTATTTACACTCAACAACTTTGAATTAAATTGAATTAAAATAATATTAAATTTAAAATATTAAGTTTTTTTTTTTAAGTTTTTAAAAATTGTAATTACTATATTGTGATAAAGTTTATATTATATCATAAATTTAAAATTTAAAAAATAAATTATATAATAAATTTAATTATTAAAATAATAAAATTTTAATATTTATTTCTAATTATATATTTTTTAAATTTTAATAATTTATTAAAC